GCTGTGCATGATTGCCACCAAGACCAAGCGGTTCCCGGGAGAGCTCATCCACAATCTACTGTACCTGTCACCGAACGTCTTTTACATTCTTGCTGCGATCGGGCGGTCGGCGTTTTCGGTCGGGTTGTTGAAACTGGTGCGGCAGTACCAGCAGTGCCCGCATCTGAACCGAGTGTACCAGCCGCATCCTGCGCTCTTTGAGTTTTTCCAATTGTGCGTTCCGGCCTCGACGATGCTTGCTGTCATCGAAGTGGTCCAAGTCCAAACGAGTCGACTGGACTTGGACATTGAACGAGAGCCACAGAGCTGCTACTATCGATCGACCCCGCCGCCGAGGCTTCTCAGACTGTACCAGGACCAAAAAAAAATTCTATTGGTTCAGTAGCAGACACCTCCCAAAGTTCAGTTTCACACATGGATCAATATGCGCAATACGTCGACGGTGCCCACAAATCCATCAACCTCTACACCGAGCCATGGGTCAACCGACTTACCGAACCCGTTTTCGCCGCCATCATCACGGTGTTCTTCTTCACCATGGCCGGCCACTTTGCGCCTCAGCTCGAGCTTTCCCAGTATGCCCAGATGCCCGCTGTCCAGGCGGTCGTCATGGCCCTGATCCTGTTCATCAAGAACCACGATATCACCATGTCGCTGGTTATTGCGTTGGCCTTCTTGTTCCTGCTGCACCACATCACCGCCGTCAAGCAAAAGAAAGCCCAGCAGGAGTCGTTCTCGCCGATGACCAGCATCATCCCCGGCTGCCTGAATGTCAAGATGACCGACATCTACACCAGCTTTGCCAACGACCAGGAGAAGATGCTCCAGGCCATCCGCTGGTCGCAGTTCCCCGGCAATGTCCCCCTGACGGACGAATACGCCCCTCTCGTTGCCACGTACCTGATTAACGCTGGCTACGCCATCAGCGCTGCAGGTTGTGGTGCACCAAACTGAGCGCAACCCCGGGAAACTTTTTCTCGACCTCCTGGACGACACCTTCGGCCAGGGAGCGGGATATCGGCACACAGGCGAGTTCGTGCGTGCGTTTTGGATAATAAAACGATATATAGTCCAATGAGCCCTCGTCTAAGGACTCATCGGGCAGCAGATCGTAGAGGAGGTTCTCAATGAAGAGATGGAGGTTGGGGAGCGAATCCTCGAACTGGAGCGACATTCGGTCGGGATTCTTGAGGGGGTGAGCAGAAAAAAAGATTGTCCATCGGCAAAGATGTCTGTCAGTCCTGACCAATTCACGGTTCCAAATATCTTTTCAATCAATCCAAACAACAACGTTACCATCTTTGCGACAACGGATGCGACGAGCTCGACGGCTGGTGGCAGCTTGACGGTGCAAGGAGGCGGTGCGGTCGCCAAGTCGTTCTGGGTTGGCACCCAAGTCAACGCGGCCACGCTTGCTACCACAGGCAATGCGGTGATTGGCGGCACGCTGTCGGTCACGGGGGCAAGCGCTGTGGCTGGTCTGTCTGCATCAAGCCTGAGCATTTCGGGCTCGTCGTCTTTGGGGGCGATCTCGGCCTCGGGGATTATTGCCTTCACCAATAGCACCGATTCCACATCGTCAACCACCGGCTCCCACACTCTGGCGGGAGGTATGGGAATCACCAAGTCGCTCTATGTCGGCACTTCGATCAATTCGGCCACCTTAAGCACCACTGGTAATGCCAGCGTAGGAGGGACGTTGGGGGTGACCGGATCGACAACCCTTGCGGGTTTGGGTGCTGGAGCGACCACTCTTGGATCTCTTTCCGTCACAGGCACCACGGCTCTTTCATCGGCAACCACAGGAACAACACTCAGTCTCTCAGACACCACGGACGCCACATCGACTCCAGCTGGTGCATTGCAGGTGAGCGGAGGTATCTATGTGGGTAAATCGATTTATGTCAACAGCACAACGGCATCCACAACCACATCCACAGGATCGATCGTGGCAAAAGGCGGCCTCGGACTCGCGGGAGCTGCTAACATCGGAGGAGCACTTGCGGTGACTGGAGCAACCACACTCTCCTCCACACTTGGCGTTACAGGAACACTCACCGCGGCCGCGATCAGCGCTTCAGGTATCGTTTCCTTGAGCAACACCACCGATGCCACATCATCGTCCACCGGATCACTCACCTTGGCGGGTGGTATGGGAGTCGGTAAGTCACTTTATGTCGGCACTTCGATCAACTCGGCCACCTTAAGCACCACTGGTAATGCCAGCGTGGGAGGGACGTTGGGGGTGACCGGATCGACAACTCTTGCGGGTCTGGGTGCTGGAGCGACCACTCTTGGATCTCTTTCCGTCACAGGCACCACGGCTCTTTCATCGGCAACCACAGGAACAACACTCAGTCTCTCGGACACTACGGACGCTGCTTCGACTCCAGCGGGTGCATTGCAGGTGAGCGGAGGTATCTATGCGGGCAAGTCTATCTATGTCAACAGCACCACGGCATCGACAACTACATCCACCGGCTCAATTGTGGCAAAGGGTGGTCTCGGACTCGCGGGAGCTGCTAACATCGGAGGAGCACTTGCGGTGACAGGCGCAACAACACTCTCATCCACTCTCGGAATCACTGGAACAACAACGGCAGCTGCAATCAATGCCTCTGGAGCAGTGAATATTAGCAATTCTACGGCATCCAGCAGCAGCTCGACGGGTGCTCTGATCGTTTCTGGTGGTGCGGGTGTCGGTGGTGCTCTCAATATTGGAGGAAATGGAAGCATTGGGGGCACCCTTTCGGTTACTGCCGCCACAACTCTCTCATCCACTCTGGGAGTGACCGGAACGACGACCGCGGCTGCAATTAACGCTTCAGGTATCGTTTCCTTGAGTAACACCACCGATGCCACATCATCGTCCACCGGATCACTCACCTTGGCGGGTGGTATGGGAATCGGTAAGTCACTTTATGTCGGTACATCGATCAACTCAGCCACCTTGAGCACGACTGGTAATGCCAGTGTCGGAGGGACATTGGGTGTGACTGGTGCAGCAACGCTCTCATCCACGCTCGGAATTACAGGAACGACAACGGCCGCTGCGATCAACGCTTCTGGAGCAGTGAATATTAGCAATTCTACGGCATCCAGCAGCAGCTCGACAGGTGCCTTGATCGTCTCAGGTGGTGCCGGAATTGGTGGTGCTCTCAATATTGGAGGAAATGGAAGCATTGGAGGGACACTGGGAATCACAGGTACGACAACTGCAGCTGCGATCAATGCTTCTGGCGTCGTCGCCTTCACCAACACCACCGACGCTACCTCATCAATCACCGGTTCGCACACTCTGGCTGGAGGTATGGGAATCGGTAAGTCACTTTATGTCGGTACATCGATCAACTCAGCCACCTTGAGCACGACTGGTAATGCCAGTGTCGGAGGGACATTGGGTGTGACGGGTGCAGCAACGCTCTCATCCACCCTCGGAATTACAGGAACGACAACGGCCGCTGCGATCAACGCTTCTGGAGCAGTGAATATCAGCAACTCGACGGCATCCAGCAGCAGCTCGACGGGTGCCCTGATCGTTTTGGGCGGCGCTGGAATCGGCGGTGCTCTCAATGTCGGTGGAAATGGAAGCATCGGAGGGACACTCGGAATCACAGGCACAACAACGGCAGCTGCAATTAATGCTTCGGGCGTGGTAAATATCAGCAACTCGACAGCATCCAGCAGTAGCTCGACCGGTGCCTTGATCGTTTCTGGCGGTGCCGGAATTGGCGGCTCCCTCTATGTTGGCGGGTCGATCACATCCTCCGGCGATGTCACCGCCTTCTCGGATATCCGACTCAAGAAGCAGGTCTCGACACTCACCGATGCACTCGACAAGGTCAAGCGGCTGCGCGGTGTCCGGTTCTTGCGCAAGGACACGCGCGAGGAATGCATCGGTCTCATTGCCCAGGAAGTCGAGAAAGTCATCCCACAAGTCGTTCACGAGCGCACCCTGGCCGTCGGCGATCCCGAGACAAAGTACAAGAGCGTCGCTTATGGAAACATTGTGGCTTTATTGATTGAGGCAGTCAAGGAGCTTGCACAAATGATGGAAAGCAATTTCTCTCAATAAACTCGGGATTCCCCATCTCTCTCAAATACTGCGCCTTGTTGTTCAGAATCGCATAAGTCGCCTCGATCGATGGGGCTGGATTGGTGACTTCCACAATCTCGCCCGTCAGGGTGTTGAAGCAGTATGCATGCGTGGCACCCGTGATCCACTTGTACAGCGCCGTCTGCAGGACATGCTCTGGGGTGAGCATACTCACACTCTTGAGCTCGATCACGATGCGGCTCATCGACTGCACCGGCTCGATCCACATATCCAGTCGTCCGCTGATCTTGAACGATTCGGTCTCGAGGTTCACGGGTCTCTCAAAGATGGTATCCTTGGCCAGCACCGCCTCAGGTTCGGCGATACCGTGCTCTTCGGCCAACAAGCGCTTCAGCAGAGCATATCCGTTGCGGCAGCATCGATTGAACTCGACAGAGTCCAGCCAGTTCAAGCTGCTGATTTGGTGCAGCAGGTGAGGCTGGTCCTTGAGCGTGGCATAGTGGGCCAGGCGCAGGATCAGGCGGTTCGTCTCGACGTTGTCTCTGTCTTCTGGTCTGGGCTCAAAGATTTCCGAGGGGCAGCTGAAGCAGCTGGGTACAGGTGCCTGCTTGCCATGCTTGAAGCACTCGCGCCACTTGCGACGATTGGGTGTCTTGATCAGGCCCATACAAGCCAACTCCAGCTTCATCGAGATGGCGTTGCCATTGATGGCCGAGACATCCTCGTGGAGGCGGATGCCGTTGTATTCCTGGGTACTCTGGTTGCGGATATTGATGCGATAGCTCTCCTCATAGACCGTGCGGATGTTGACCGAGCGGAAGGCATCGATCATCTGGCGTTGGGGGAGGTGTGAGAGCAGCTGGCCAACCGAGAGCATCTTCTTGGTCTTGGGCTGCTTGGCGGCCTTGTCGGCTCGGTCGGTGATCAGCTCCTCTCGCTTGCGCTTCAGCTCCATCTGAACCGCTGGAGGCCGCTGGTATCGGTCAAACTCGGGCCGCTGGTCGCCCTTGGGAGTCACCAGATACAGAGTATCCGTGGCTCGGGTCATGGCAACAAAGACAGAAGTCGGCAGCTGGGGCTCGTATCGGAACTTTTTGGTGCCATAGTCGACCAGGAAGGTGTGGCGGCACTGTAGGCCCTTGGAGCGGATGAAGGTCATGATCCGGAGCTTGCCGCGCTGCAAATCGAGCTTGGACTCTGCGAGATCGCCGGCAATGAACAGGGGGATGCGGCGCAGAGTGAGCTGCTGGTCGAGCTCGCCCACAGTGGTGGGGCGGTTGTACTGCACGAGCTTGGTGGAGTTGGCCAAGATAATAATGTCGTCGTAGGCAACGCTGAAGTGGTCGTGCAGCTTGATGATCTCCTCGACCACATCATGGACACTGTGCAAGTCGTGGCGGATGGCGTGGTGGTGACGGCGGCTGCCGACGAGCTTGACCTTCTCCATGCCGGTGATGTGTTGCTTCATGTAGTCGACCACACCCTCGGTCAGCCGGTGCGAGACAGAGAGGCCAAAGTGGCCCCATTGGCGGTCCGGGTAGATATCAGAGACCATGGTCAGATATCGGGCGTCGCCGCCGCGGTAGCCGTAGATGGCCTGCAGCGGATCGCCCAGGAAGACGAGCTGCAGCGGGCGCTGCTGGTAAGTCTCGAGGTCGCGGATGAAGCAGTGGATGTACTGGTTCAGGCCCTCGTCGAGATCCTGGCACTCGTCGACGACAAAGACATCGACGGCCTTGGGCGGGGTGATGATGCGGTCGGGCATGTGCACCAGCTGGTCGAGGGCAATGGCGTTGGGGGACAGGAACTGGTAGTAGTCCGTGGTCGAGCTGTTCACGGTGCAGACATGGACATTGCGCAGACCCAGCTGGTTGAACTTGTGGACGGTCTCCTCGCGCAGGTTGCGGCCAAAGGACAGCACAAGAAAGTAGCGCTCGGGGAAGGCCTTGGCCAGCAGCGAGATCGTCGTGGTCTTGCCGCTGCCGGGAACGGCCGAGATGACCAGGTTGTTGGCGGTGTCGGCAAAGTGGGTCAGGATCGCGTGCTGCTCGTCCGTGGCCTGCATGGTGGTGTCGGTGTCGGGCGTAGATGCGTCGGTGCTATGCCATGGTATGGTAAAATATCTTTATTGATAATTCACAGGAGTGGAGGTACATCAAGATGGGAGTGGATTATTTGGATTTGGCGAGGCGCTCGAGCGCGACTCTAGCATTTTCGTAGCCTTGGTTGGCCGCCTTCTAGAACCAGGATCGGGCAGTCTCGATGTTCTTGGGGACACCATTGCCATCACGCCTATATTGAATTCGGGAAAACCCATCCATACCCGCATCCCCAGCGAACTGGGAAAGCGACAAAGTAAGACAGCTCACCGTAATGCATTCTTACAGTCAATCCAATAAAAAACGGGACACCCGGGTTTTTGACCATTGATCGAATATTTTGTTACCCAATGTTATCGCGCACTGGCCATGACCATTCGCCACACATCCGACTTTCGCACCGCCGCATTGCGATGCTACGCCCTCATCCATAGCCTGCGTAAGGTCGCCTCCATATTCAGTGTATCCAAGAGCACCATCCATCGATGGCACCGAGGATGCAAGCTGGATGACCCATCCCGGGTCCCAGCTCGCAGATCCACTTTCTTCGAGCAGGCATGTCCAGTCATTCGCACCCTGATTGAACAGGACCCGTTCCAGACTGGTCCTGTGTTGCGATGCAAGCTCGAGTCCATCCTCCAGAGGAAAGTATCACTCTCACTCTGCCACACTGCCATCCACCGAGCAGGTCTCTCACACAAGAGGGCAACACACCTCTACAAGTCCAAGCGACTGGATGAGCGAGTGGCACAGTTCAGGGACCAGGTCCGCTCCATCGACCTGCGGCGATTCGTTTTTGTCGACTGAGACAGGGATCAGGAGATCCATTTTCTCTCTCTACGGATACTCACCGAAGGGTGCTCCGCTTCGTCCAGCGCAATCACATGAAACACAAGTCTGTCTCGGCTGCATTTGCCATCAACCACTCTGGTGTGCTGCATCGCATGTACATCCCCACATCATTCAAGACACACTCGATGGTCGAGTTCTTTGAGCGAGCGAGCTTCCCAGACGACTCTGTGATTGTGATGGACAATGTCAGCATGCACAAGACAAGGGCTGTCCTGGACTGCATCGAGCACCGAGGATGGTCAGTGATCTTCACCCCACCTGCCTCGCCCGACTTCAATCCCATCGAGAACTTCTTTGGGATTGTGAAGCATCAGTACAGGAAGGCAGCAGCGCTGAATGCGTCCGAGGGGTTCAGAGTCGGGATGGTGACCCTGTTCGAGTCCGCCGTGCGGAGGGTGCTTCCAGATGTCTTCCCACGGCTGATTGAGCGCGCGATGCGTTTCTGGGCGTGAATCATACCATCGAAAAGTGCGTCAAAATCACCCTTGGTTTTTTCTTGCCTATAGGTAGAATCAACGGGGTGTCGAAATCGCGACAGATGGCTCCCCGCAAGAAAAAATCCCCGCCTGACCCAAATCCAGATCCTGGACAACCCAGTGACGCACCTGCTGCCAAAAAACCCGTCATCAAATCATGTCGTGCCTGTGGATTGACCAACCACGTCAAGCCATTCACCAAGAAATGCAAGGCCCGAACCGAGTTGGGCCCCCCTTCTGACTCGGCGTCTGCCTTTGGCGCCGTTTGCCAAGCACCCCCTCCAGACGAGTCCAGTGAAGACATCGCCGTTCCGGCCCTCGTGGTCGAGATGCCTGCACCAAAAGTCCCTGTATGTACCACATGTGGGGAAGAGGGTCATGCCAGAAGCAGCAGCTCGTTGTGTTCAAAAAAGAACCCCCTCTGGAGCTCTACCGAGCCCGACTGTGGTCCAAACGAGTATGCCAAGGCCGAGTACTCGATCATCAAGTGCACTCTGGACGCCATCATCAAGAACGGCGCCTTGCACGACAAGATCGAGGAGACTGTCCGGGCCATGACCCATGTGCAGTACGAAGCATCTCGGCTCCTGGAGCTGCATCTCAGGCGATGCTTGGACGATGGCATCACCATCCCCACTGTGTCGTCGAGTGACCCTTCGTTCGTTCGAAAGTGTTTCAACATGGTGCATACCGGAGCTACAGATGTCAAGAATGGCACGATCCAAGAAGACAAGCACCTCCTCGACACCTATGAGCTGTATCGAAGTACATGGAGTGGATCGTGTGCCCTACCTCCTGTAACCCTCCCAAAGGGCACTGGTTCACAGATCCTCACATTGGCTGTCAAGACCTATGCAATCAACTGTGAGACACACATTCTCGATCGGTATTGGTCCCTTCTACGCCGATTCTGCAATCTGGCCCTGATTGCTCCCAAGGATGTCAAGCGACATACACACGTCGATGAGTGTATGAAGCTGATGGAGAATCCCCTCTCCGATACACTCCTCGGTGATCTGAGGAAATCCTTCGCCCACCATGCCGACCAGCTCTACATCTTTCGCTACAAAAGCCAACAGGACCTGTACAAAGTCGTACCAGTATTGGCCAGTGAAGTCTCTCGGCTGACCCACCGAAAGGAGACACTGTTCGTGGCGACCATTCGAAACAGAATCATCCCCAGGCTCGTGAGGGATACCGATGATCTGAAAGGAGTGTGTGGACGACTGAACGAGGAGATGTGTCGCGCGATCGAACGAAGGCAGTCGGATCAATACAACGCACTCCACAAACGGCACGAGGAGGTGGAGAAGCAGGTCACCGTCAACACGAAGCGAATCAAGCGATTGACCGACCGACTTGCTCAGACCAGGAAACGACACAACGTCCCTCGAGCACAGTGCACCTTGGTCCCGCTCTGCGATGCCAGAGCCAAGTATGTCAAGCTCGACACCAAAGCATTGTGGGAGTTCCTTGGTTCCCAGAAGGGTACTGGTTTCAAGTGGAACGACCTGAAGACCAAGGTCAATGGCACCACAAAACAAGAGATCTTCTGGCGAAGGACCTTCAAGCTGGAGTCGAGACTCTTTGGTGTCAGGAAAGAGGGGAAGCAGCTCTTTGGTTGCGAGATCAGCACCGATGGGGTCGGGTGCTCGATCACCACGCTCAGGTACAAGATCCTGAAGAAGGACCCCGATGTCAAGCCGGTACCCAAGACCAAGGTGAACACACTCACTCCCGAGCAGAAGATCCAGACCAGAGTCGGTCCCATCGACGACTCTCGGACCACATGGATCGGGATCGACCCTGGAGTGGGATCGATCTTCACCGCTGTCAATCGAGCACCCGGTCAACCATCCATCCAGGAGCAAGACGGTGTCAAGGTGACCAAGGCACAGCGCGCCAACGAGAAGATCGTGTCGTTCTCCAACAAGGAGTACCAGCATCGAACTGGCACCAGTCAGGCGACCAAGTGGATCCAGAGCACCCACAAGGCCCTTGATCTGCAGGAATGGATGAGCACCACACCAAGTCCCAAGATCCCTGGGTTGGCTTCCTTCCTGCGATACATTCGCCATGTGTTTGATGGAGACATGCTGGACAAACAGCTGTACTTCAGCCTGACCCGGCGACGGCGATTCAAGCGACTCGATCTCCACAGCAAGCGACAGCGCACTGTTCACGAGATGTGCAAGCGAGTCATCGACCAGGCACCAAAGGAGACCGACGTGTTGATTGCCTTTGGGAATGCATCCTGGAAACAGGGGAAGGGATATGCATCCAGTCCCAGGAGACTCAGGTTTGCCAAGTACTTTGAGCAATTCCACCACCACCAGAGACGACCACCAGACCAATCCGTCTCCAAGATCCATGTGTGCTCGGTGAACGAGTTCAACACATCCCAGGTGTGCTCACATTGTCGGGAAGCCAAGCGACTCGAGTCACCCGAGTATCTTGATATCGAGAAACCACACTTTGTCCGGAGCTGTGCAAGCTGCCATACGCTGTGGGATCGAGACATCAATGCAGCCAGGAACATGATCTCGGTATGCCAGTCGATCATCGCCACAGGAGATCGACCGAATGTATTCAAGACTGTGCTTCCGGACCCACCCAAAACAAAGAGATTGCCAACCAGGACGGGAAACAATCGCACGACCTGCCCACTGGGGTCTACGGATCAGCAGACCTGTGTCGCTGATGCCAGGAAGTGACTGTCCCGTTTCTTTCTGGTTTGACTGTATGATTCTCGAAGGGCTAGCGCTACGAGGACATGCCATCGCACAGTGTCATCTCGGCGAGATGATTGAGGATGGACTCACTCCCCAGCCCAAGGACGGCCCCAGCATGACGTGGTGGTACGCACAGGCTGCAGCACAAGGGTACCCTGAAGCTCAATACGCTCTTGGACGCTGTCATTTGATGGACGATGAACGTCTCGACTTGGCCATGTTCTGGTTCGAGCTGGCAGCTCGGAACGGACATGGAGATGCGATTGCGATGCTTTGAAAATACAGTCATTCATACCACCACACACATACAAGCATGAGCGAGGTATCTGGGTATATATATTCACATTTCAGAGGAGCAGATCCAACAACTTCAAAGAATCACCAGCAGCAGTGTGTCCATGGTCGACAGCCAGCTGGTAGAAATATTTTGCCACTCGAATGTCAGAGGTGGCGCCCAAACCAGCCTCCACGCAGTGCGCCAGCTTGTACATGGCATCAGCGTACCCCTGGTTCGCTGCTGCAAAGTAGAGATGTGTCATCATCATTTGGTCTGCACTTGACTTGGTGAATCGCTCTTGAATGCAGTCCGCCAGAGCGCACTGGGCGACAGCGCGACCCTCCAAGGCAAGCTGCTCGAGCAGCGACGATGCGTATTGTAGATTGCAGCTGGGGGCTCCGATGCTGTGGATCCAGCACTGGGCGAGGAGGAACTCGCAGAACCAGTTGCCTCGCCCATTTCCTTCTTGACACCACTCAAAGAGTTCGCGGTGGAGCTGGGTTTTCCCTTCCCAGTCGGTCATGACGAACTCGGCTTCGTTCCAGTCGCTCGCAATGCCCACGCCAGCGGCGTAGCACCAATGGACCAGGAATCCAGCGAGGTCGCCAAGGACGTCGGCCTTGCTGTCGTCGTAGATCTGGAACCAGAGCTGGAATGCTTCTTCACGTTTGTGTTGCAGGAAGAGATCACAGGCCCAACGGAAATTGCAGACGTCTTGAACCATGGCGATGACATCGACGTCGTCGTGTCTCGAGTTCTCCTGACCAAGACGAGCGAGCCAGCGGCGGTAGAGAGCGATTTCGTCTGCGGCGATGGTGGTCATTTTCGGAGTTGCGACTAGGAGAGCGATCGAGTATCTGCGATTTTTTATGGGGGGCGACGAAGCGGACGACATCGACAGCGGCAGACCCCACCCCCCACCGCACGGCCACCCCGGTCGTCGTGTCAAGGCAGCGAAACGCAGCGCTGGGCAGCGACAAGGACATCCTTGGCCACGTTCTCCGGAGGCAGGCTGGCGTCGAGGACCACCCAGCTCGCATCCTGCAATTCAGCAAAGGCGTTGTACACTCTCTGCTGCAGCTCGACGTTTTCGTATAGCTCAGCCCCATAGCCGCTCCGCCCTGCGGCGACGGTGGGTGGTGCGTCCAGATAGATGACGAGATCTGGGTGGGGAAGCCCGATATCGGTGGCTCTGCACCACTCGACATCGAGGCCTCGGGCCATGGAGTACGCCAGCCCAGAGTGGACGTATCTGTCCAGCACCAGCGTCACCCCGGCGCGCTGCTGACGCTCCATCCAGGCCTTGAAGCCCCAGCGATTTGCCGAGAAGAGGAGGTGGATGCTGTGGTCGTCGAGCTCGGCGTCGCCCTTCAGATGGCGATCGATGATCTTGCCGATGACGGTGGTGCGATCGGGGAACTTGACGAGCTCCGTGGGCACCCCGGCATCGCGGAGACGCTGAACGAGAAGGGCAGCTTGTGTGCTCTTGCCAGAGCGATCACAACCCTCGATGGCGATGAGGGCACCCCTGGACGCCATGATTCGCTCGCTCTACCACCAACCCCCCAGAAAACGAATGCTGTGTCCAGCGCGAGTGGATATTTGTATTTGTGCGATGCCCTACTCCTCTTGCTTGGGTGCAAGAGTAGACTTGATGGTGTCGGGGTGTGTGGCGGGGTGTCTCCCTGGATTGGAGAGGAGGAAAGCGAGTCCCCCAGCAACCCCGCCGACTCACCGACCCATAAGAGTCGCGATCGCCGAAACCCGCACCTCGCCCTCATCGCATTCGCCTTCCGTCTCCTGCTTACCCCCAGTCATGGATCATCCCGCCAAGAAGCGTCGTCTCGCTCCTGCCCCGGCTCGTCCAGCCCAGCATATCCCAGTCATCCAAGCTCCCCAAGTCCAGCAGATCGCTGGTGCCCCTGCCACGTCCCAGCTGACCAGCGATCAGATCACCACTGCAAGCGTGGATATGATCGAGCCCGCCGGTTCCCAGCAAGTCCAGGCAACAGAAGTCCCTCCTAGCAAGGCAAAAATTGGCAGGCGTCGGGCCATTCCCAAACCTCCAGATGCCAAGATATTCCGTGGTCATCCCTTGGCTGATCCATATCCATGGAGCATGGTCAACGCTCCCTGTGCCGGCTTTATTGGTCCTCTGAAGCCAGTGATCGTCATGGATCCTAGGCAGCGACGACTGCAGCGCACACCGCTCGGTCGCCTCACCATAGTCACCCTCATCAACGGTCAACGACTATGCGATGCTCGCGAGGCGATCGCTCTCTCAGACGGTCGTATATTCAAAGGATACGAGTCAATCGAAGGAATCGACATCACGTCAACTCGCAACGCTATCAATCGTAAATGGGGAGACACTCTCCACTATATTCCTGCCATTTACATCAAGTTCGCCAAGACCAACACTATCTTCCCTTTCGTGGACGACAAAGGATTCATGCAGATACTCCGACGAGGTGAAGGTGAACGTTGTAAGGAGTTGAAAGATGAATTTTATAACATGGTTATCAGTGTGCTTGGGAGAGATATGGTTATGTACAGTCGCATGCAGGAACGTATCCACATTCAGAATCAGAGGAAAGATCCTTGTCAAGTTGAGGATGCGATTTTCATGTCTGGTGTGAATTCGCGCAAGACAAATACATTTTGATATCTCCAGATCGCCTGGAAGGAGTCAGCCTTGGCTGCTGTGTCGTCTCGCTCGTGCAGAGGTGATCTTCGCTTGAACATCTATTGGCTGTTGTGTCGTCTCGCTAGTGCAGAGGTGATCTTCGCCTGATCATTCTATTGGCTGCTGTGTCGTCTCGCTCGTGCAGAGGTGATCTTCGCTTGAACATCTATTGGCTGTTGTGTCGTCTCGCTCGTGCAGAGGTGATCTTCGCTTGAACATCTATTGGCTGTTGTGTCGTCTCGCTCGTGCAGAGGTGATCTTCGCTTGAACATCTATTGGCTGTTGTGTCGTCTCGCTCGTGCAGAGGTGATCTTCGCCTGATCATTCTATTGGCTGCTGTGTCGTCTCGCTCGTGCAGAGGTGATCTTCGCTTGAACATCTATTGGCTGTTGTGTCGTCTCGCTAGTGCAGAGGTGATCTTCGCTTGAACATCTATTGGCTGTTGTGTCGTCTCGCTCGTGCAGAGGTGATCTTCGCCTGATCATTCTACTGGCTGCTGTGTCATCTCGCTCGTGCAGAGGTGATCTTCGCTTGAACATCTATTGGCTGTTGTGTCGTCTCGCTCGTGCAGAGGTGATCTTCGCCTGATCATTCTATTGGCTGCTGTGTCGTCTCGCTCGTGCAGAGGTGATCTTCGCTTGAACATCTATTGGCTGTTGTGTCGTCTCGCTCGTGCAGAGGTGATCTTCGCTTGAACATCTATTGGCTGTTGTGTCGTCTCGCTCGTGCAGAGGTGATCTTCGCTTGAACATCTATTGGCTGTTGTGTCGTCTCGCTCGTGCAGAGGTGATCTTCGCCTGATCATTCTATTGGCTGCTGTGTCGTCTCGCTCGTGCAGAGGTGATCTTCGCTTGAACATCTATTGGCTGTTGTGTCGTCTCGCTAGTGCAGAGGTGATCTTCGCTTGAACATCTATTGGCTGTTGTGTCGTCTCGCTCGTGCAGAGGTGATCTTCGCCTGATCATTCTACTGGCTGCTGTGTCATCTCGCATATGCAGAGGTGATCTTCGCTTGATCATTCTACTGGCTGCTGTGTCATCTCGCTCGTGCAGAGGTGATCTTCGCTTGAACATCTATTGGCTGTTGTGTCATCTCGCTAGTGCAGAGGTGATCTTCGCTTGAACATCTATTGGCTGTTGTGTCGTCTCGCTCGTGCAGAGGTGATCTTCGCTTGAACATCTATTGGCTGCTGTGTCGTCTCGCTCGTGCAGAGGTGATCTTCGCCTGATCATTCTACTGGCTGCTGTGTCATCTCGCATATGCAGAGGTGATCTTCATCTGTTCATTCATTGGCTACTGGTCACTTCGCGCACCACCCCCACGCTGAACCAAAATATTTCAAGTCCTGGTTATATTGGGTCGCTCTCGATCGACTACATTTCAAGTCGATCGCGATACTCAGCCTGGATTTCATTCCAGGTCATCAGAACACTTTTCTTGAACAAAAAGAGGCGCACGATAACAATAATAAACGGGTGAAGAAAATGGCAATAAACCAAGGGGCTGTGACCAGAGGCAAGTTGGTCATACATTCGCCAAGAGGCCGGTATCTCAGCATGACGGAACCAATCCTCCACGATCTCGTCAATTGCAATGAAGAGAACGGATGTCGTGTGGTGCCCAATGTTCTTGAATTCTCTATCGATTTCGCTGTTACCCTCGATGAGCTGCTTCACCGACTTGAAGTTGCCGGGGCTGGTGTCGATGGGCTGGGTGAAGGCGTGCTTGAGTGCAGCGACGTCGAGCGCCTGGAATGACCAAGACTCGTCAGGTTGCTCCTCGATGACGGGTTGAGCTGGGGGAGTCGCTTTCTGAACCGGAGCCGGAGGAGCCGTAGTTGCTGGCGTGGCCGGGGTGACAGGGGCCGTGGGTTCAGGAGCGGTGCCCAAGGTCGATTTGATTTCTCTGAAGATCAGGGTCACCATGCTCTCAGGAATCAATGGCTTTCCTTCCGCGGCAGTCTTGACGATGCTACTGAGAAAGCGCCCCGTGAGGCGCTCATCGGCTTCGATTTTCATCTTTGCCTTTCGTTCAGCGGATCGATTCATTGCTTCCAACTTGGCGAGCTCCAACTTGGAAGCATGGTCAAGGACAGCATTGACCTTGTCCATGGGCATCGATACAGCGCACACATGATGGATGACTCGTTCCATCATCGTTTCACCATCGTTACCCGCATCGAGCTGATCGGCCTTCCTCTTGCGAGTCAGGGTAGAGCTCGTCGTGGGCAGCTGATCGACAACGACGGGTTCCTCAACAAAGGTGGTATCGCCATCCTCGGTGACCTCCTCCATGGTCTCGGGATCAGCGGCTCCGTTGTTGTCGAGGCTGCCTGGCTCCTCAACGATCAGATCGTCGTTGGAAGGAATGGGTGCTTCCACAGTGCTGCCGAGATGAGACGATCCATCGGGCTGGTTGGAAGTCTCGATCGATCCGGCAGAGCCGACGGGGGCCGGCAAGTCAATCGCTTCGGCTGCGTTGCTGGGGGGCTCCTGGTTGGCAAGATCGGGAGAGTCATCGAAATCCATCGCATCGGCGACTTGATCGCTATCTGGAGCTGGGTCAGCCAAGCCGGGTGAGACGCTGTGCGTGAGTGTGACCTCGATGATGGGTTCGGCGGAACGGGAGGTCTCGGGAACCACGGTTGCTTGTCCAGTGAGGAAGGTTTCGAGCTTTGTGAAATCTCTGTCGTGCGGGAAATCTCTTGAGACTCTATCTGAATCAAGGCAGACATTTTGGAATGGATGGACAAGTCTGTAGGGGTGTGGTCTGTAGTTGTTGATGATGGGGAACCCCAAACCCTTGAAGAGCTTCTGGCGTTTTCGCTCGTATGCAGTGCCATATGCCCTTCTCCAAATCTCGCGACGAGCGATCGTGGTGTGGCAGATGAAGTATGGGCGAACCCTCTCCTGCTCGGCCAAGTCGTCGGGGCACACAAGAGCCACGTATACGTGGCGAAGAGCCTCGATCTCGTATTGATTGGCAAAGAAATCGAAGTGGTGACTGAGCTCCAGTCCATATTCACCAATCTTTTCGAAATTGCGCTGAACAAGCTGATCGATCAAACGAAGCGTGTCGCCCCAATGATCTGCAGGACGATCCTCTTTGATCCTGTCGTATTGCTCAAGGAAATAAGTGAGCAACACGAAGATATATCGACGAACATACGCAATGTCGTCAATAGACCAGATGCAAGAGGCAAAGACAGGGTGTCCATTCCCGTCGAAACCTCTGGGTCGATCGAGTTTGGGGTTGGTCATCTCGTACGTCAAGTTCCAGTGATCTACACCGCGGATTATGGTCCTGACGTCCAAAGAGAAGTGCTCCCTATAGGGAGGAATGTGAGAGGCCACAGTGTTCTGGCGCCCATTATTTCGGTGGAAGTGTAACGTATCCTTCTTCCTGCGAGGCATTTTGAGAGATGAGTATCAAAGACGAAACCCCCTCGGTCGCTCTTTTATTGCCGGGTCGGCCTGGGGGAGGGTGACCCACCTGTCTGTCCAGAGTCGGAGGATGGCGAAGGGAAAAGAGGGCTCCAGTCGCCCCTGTTCATGTGGTCCAACTCCACCTTCCAGGTGCTTCTTCTGCAACGTCATTGGTCGCAGAGTGAGGTCGCACTGCTGCGCACGGATTCTGTGCTCGCTGTTCCTGACACAGACACCAGCGCTCACGGGGCCGCTGACCACCGGCCATCGACACCTCTCCACGATTCGTGAGTTGTACGCTCCTGTGCATTTGGAGAGGGCATGTGCGTATCCTTTTCCCTTCCCCGCTCCATGCCCACCAACCACACACCCCCACACCACCCCATCCCATCACCGTGGTGTTTGTGGATATGCAAATGGCTCGTAAGAGACTCAGAAGAGACCTATCGAGTGGTCAGAAGTGATTCGGAAGTGAAACTTTTCATGGAGTGTGATAATATTATCATCTAACACTGAAAACATGGAGAGAATACCAGCGCGGAACTCACTCGGAAGTGATTTGGAAGTGAATATGGAGTGAGAAGCTCTTTTGGGGGGCGGTTGGGGGCATTGGAGAAGAAAAAACAAAAATTTTCAAGAAAAAAAAGATATTCATGGCCGGGAAGGATTTGGGGCCCACCCATCCATCCATGGAGTGGACTCGGAAGAGACTCGGAAGTGAAGCTCGCTCGATAAACATGGTGTGGGGCTGAAAACTCGTAAGAGACTCGGAAGTGAAACGTCGTCGCTTGTGAGCGGGTCGGAAGAGGATTGGAAGAAGGGGTTGTACACTGCATTCACTGCATGCATACCTCGCGAATGAGCCTCTCGTAGCGAGACCAAATAGCAGCACCATTGTTCTTGACCATGATGGAGCGCTTGAGCAAGTCCATAAACACGGCTTGAACCTGTGGATCGTTTCTGGCTGCAACGATATGGCTCGGAGCGATCATATCAACCCAGTGATCAGGACGATCCCAGTGATGTGGTGCACTGGGGGAAATGCTGAGGATTTGCTGGCGTGCTATCATGCTGCCATCCCTGTACGCCATGAGCAGCCTATACTGATACGTCGCCTTGCAGTTCATCCATCGAGGGAAGCCAATCGAGTTCTTCATGCAGTAGATTGACAGAAGGGTCCTGTCCCTTTCAGGGAGACTGTGTCCCGACGAATCCGACAACCAATGCCAGACGGACGATGCTTGGGGCGCATTTCGGATCCACCCATGTCGGCAGATGTCGTAGATCTGCTGGGCGCTGTCGTGATAACCACCTCGAGCGCATTCGACCAGAAGATTCAAGGCTCTGGTCGGGTTGGCATCAGTACCTCTGCCATATCGATAGCATTCGTGGAGGGCGAACTTGACCTTCAGTTCGGATGCGTCCAATGACTCGAGCCACTGAAAGTACGCCTGGTTGATCTCGATCGATGGTGATCCGAGGAAGATGTCACGTTCTTCGAGGAGGAAGTCGTCGAGCGCCTTGGATTTGTTGCTCAAGACGGAAAGGCATTTGCTGTGGATTTCGCCATTCCAGACCATGCGCTTGACAAACCACATTGCAGTGGGGACGTGCTTGGCCTCGAGGAGTCGTCGTACGATCTGGAACTCGGAGTTGTCTCGGCGGAAACGAGTGACGACTCGGACGAACTCGGCTGAAACCACGGTCCCCGGAATGAACTTGAACCACTTGAGGTTGAAGGCAACTGGTCCAGCAGGGAAATACTTGACCAGTTGGACGCAGTCATCGGAGAGGAGCCTGGTGTGGTGTTGCTTGTTGAACCACTCGGCCCAGATGCGAATCCCCACGGTCTTGGTCGAGAGCAGAGCCCTCACGTCGCTGGAAGTTGCCTTGAGCTTCGCGAGACTGCAAGCGGGGAGCATCTCGATCAGCTCGGGGACCGAGAGGACGACCAGGAGGACAGAAAGGGTTTCTTCGATTCCCAAGGAGACCAGTTGTTCATGGACACGTTGGCGCTTGGCAGTACGGGTGCTCATCGAGCGGGTGATGCGCTTGGTAGCCTGGGAGGACATGGCGATGAAGGAAAGTTGGCTAGACGGGGTGCTCCAGCAACGCACACCGGGCTCCCTCATATACCCCATGCCCGGCCGCTTGGTGTGATGACCAGCATCACAACGGACCAATGAGATTGTCCCGCATGCTCTCGCCCTCCGCACCAATCATGAGTCCCCACGTGTTTGTTTGCCCCCATGCATGAGCACGCGCCGTTGCCACCCGCGTCTACTGGTTTCCTGCCTCCCCCACCGCTCGGCACATGTCCCCGGGCTGTGCCAAGCCTCTCTCGCTTGCACACCAGCCACTCTCGCACCCCCTTCTCGCTTCTCTGTGATGCTCCACCCTTCTCGCCCACTTTTGCCCCTCGACCTTCTCCCGGTCTATAAATAGCCCTGCATGTCTGAGCCTATGTTGAACACCAGTTCGAACAAAACTTGTTCTTTGGTGTTCGGGGCTAAAAGCTAATAAAGCTCATACCAAGCACTTGGTCTTCGTCCTTGCGCTTGTTCACTCCTTACACTTTGTTCGAACTCTCTTCTACTGATACCACCTGCTTGGTATCTTCCGCTCCTAGCCCCGCCCCTTTCCTAGTCCTGTCCGAACCTCAAGCACACTTGTGTCTGAGCCCTCTTCGCTCTCCTGTTCTTGAACCTCCTCGCTTTTTTTTTTTTTCCCAGTCCCAGTCCCAGTCCCGCCATGGATCCTGCCCTCGTGGACCGCCTCCGTGCCTTGGAGGCCGAGCTCGCCGAGCTCCGGACAGCTCGCGATGCTCCTGCCGCTGGGTACAGCGTGCAGATGCCGGACCGTTACGACGGTAACCGGCAAGGGTTCCGGGCATTCGTAAATCAGTGCAAACTGTATATACGAATGCAGCCCCACCGGTTCCCTGCTGACCCGATTAAGGTCGGATTCGTCATTAGTCTGCTCACTGGACCGGCTCTCCAGTGGGCGACTCCGATGCTTGAGATGGGTGATCCCCGACTCAACTCTTTTGGCGATTTCCTAGAACGCTTTTCCAAAGTGTTTGACGACCCTGATCGGGCCAGGACTGCCGAGTCAGTGATCACCACACTGTCTCAGGGCAACCGCCCGTGCGCAGTCTATGCATCCGAGTTCCTTCGTATTGCCGCCGATACGACTTGGAACGACGGTGCAAAGATCTCGTTCTTCCGACTTGGCTTGTCGGATGATGTCAGAGACGAACTTTCGCGAGTTCGCCCTCTGCCACGAGATCTGGAGGAGTACATCGAGCTTTGTAACGAGCTCGATGCACGAATCCGCGAGCGCCGTCAAGAGCGCCGAAGCACGCCTGCCCGCTACCGGTCTTCCCAGTTCGCCTTTGGTTCCGCCTCCGCTGCCGTTCCCGCCATCGCTCCCGCGCCCGTCCTCGCTCCGCCGCACCCCTCCTACATTGTTTCCGAGCCCATGCAAGTGGACTCTGCCGTCTCTGGACCCCTGACCGCCGAGGAGAAACAACGCCGCCGCCGCTTTGGACTCTGCCTGTACTGTGGCAAGAAGGGCCACTTGGTACGAAACTGCCCCGTCAAGTTTGGATCTACCAGAGCTACCGGACCGCCCCCTGGACCTCCCGGCCCGAGGATCATCCGCACCATCGTTTACGAAGATGGAGAAGTGCAAGACTTCAGTTCGGGAAACGACCAGGCCCGGTTCTAAGTGAAGGCCTTGAACCGGAGCCGTGCCCACCGCCTTCCGAAAGTGAAGACATTGGTAAGGTGCCTTTGGTAAGTACTGGGGAAGCAGTGATGTGCGGACAGCTTCGCCTTGCCTCTGGACCGGCGGACACTCTCAGCTCTGGCATAGTACCCGTGGCACCTCTGGTGTCACTGGGAACTGCACCTCATCCACAGGTGCAAATACCTGAGCTGTCCTGCCAACCCTCGGCAAAGTTAACTGTCTGTGCTAGCCGCAACCCTGGTGCCGAAGCTGGTACCGAACCAAAGTCTTGTGTTTCGTCTGTTCGTCGTTGCTCGTTGGTTGTTCCCGTCGCTGTTCGTCTTCCTTCTGGTGATTCTCTGTCGTGCGAAGGACTTGTCGATTCTGGTGCCTCTGGCAACTTTATCGACGAGGACTTTGTTGCTCGACACTCTGTCCCCACCTGCTCCAAGGCTTCGCCCTTGGCAGTGGAAGGCGTGGATGGTAAGCCGCTGTCGTCTGGCCCCATCCTCCGCGAGACTGCTCCACTCGAGGTGATTCTCGGGGACGTCTCGCAACGCCTTCGGTTCGATGTGATCAGGTCTCCACATCAACCACTTATCCTTGGCTTTCCTTGGTTGCGCACCGCCGAGCCCAAGATTGTCTGGTCTCGCGGTCTTCTTTGTCTCCCTCCTTCTGTTGATTCCGACCCCTCTCCATGCACTACTTCTCTTTCGTCTTGCTCCACTTCCTCCAATGTCACTCCCCTTCTTGATGATTCCACTCCTTTGATTGATCTAAGCTCCTCTCCTACGCTCCCACCTTCGTCTTCCCCTTCTTGTCTTGTTCCTCCCGAACCCCTTCGCTCTTCCCAAACCCCTTCTTCTGTTGTCAGTTCTCTTTCCCTCCTTGATGTACCTCCTCCTGTTGTTTGTTCTTCGGACATTGTTCAGAATAAAGTAACCGTCGAACATTATTCTGACCTTGTCCACGCCCCTCCTCTCAGCTCGGACGCTCCTCTCCGCGTCTGCAGCATTGATTACCGCTCGATGCGCGAGTCTTTGGATGCATGCAGGCATGGAACGCAACCCCTGACCATCTTTCAGGTCCATGTCCTGCCCACTGACGAGCCGAGCACTGCGACTGTCGAAGTGCCTGCGGAGTACAAGGACTTCCTGTCTGTTTTCTCTAAACAGGAAGCTGACTCCTTGCCTCCGCATCGCCCTTATGACTGCCCCATTGACTTGGAGCCGGGCAAGTCGCCAAAGTTCGGGCCTCTGTACTCACTGTCCGAGCCCGAACTTCACGCTCTGCGTGACTATCTCGACGAGAATCTTGCCAAGGGATTCGTTCGTCCTTCGTCGTCCCCAGCAGGCTCACCAATCCTCTTCGTCAAGAAGAAGGACGGCTCACTTCGTCTTTGCGTTGACTACCGCGCACTGAACGGTATCACGGTAAAGAACCGTTACCCTTTACCGCTGATCGGCGAGCTGCTGGACCGACTTCGAGGCGCGAAGGTGTTCACTAAGCTGGACCTTCGTGGAGCCTACAATCTGCTGCGCATCCGCTCCGGGGACGAGTGGAAGACAGCTTTCCGTACTCGATATGGGCACTTCGAGTACTTGGTGATGCCCTTTGGGCTCACCAACGCGCCAGCGACGTTCCAGCACTTCATCAACGACGTCCTGCGCACCGAGTTGGACCAGTTCGCAATTGCGTATCTTGACGATATCTTGATCTACAGTGCTGATCCGTCGCAGCATGTAGAGCACGTCAAGCAGGTCCTCTCGAAGCTCCGAGCTGCAAAGCTGTATTGCAAGCTGGAGAAGTGCGAGTTCTCCAAAACCTCGGTCTCGTTCCTTGGTTTCATGGTCTCGCCCGAGGGCATCGGTATGGAGCGATCCAAGCTCTCTGCGATCTTGGATTGGCCCATACCGCGCAACATCTCGGATCTTCGATCCTTTGTCGGGTTTGCGAACTTCTATCGACGCTTCATCGATGGATACGCAAAGATCGCGGGGCCCATGACTCGGCTCTTCCGGAAGACGCATGGCTTCCAGTGGTCCCGCGAAGCCGATAAAGCATTCAGATCCTTGAAGGATGCCTTCGTTTCGGAGCCCGTTCTGGTGCATCCGGACCCATCCAAGCCGTTCGTCGTAGAGTCAGATGCGTCGGACTTTGCGCTTGGATGCGTGCTCTCCCAGCGGGGTGCTGATGATCGCCTTCATCCTTGCTCGTTCCATTCGCGGACACTCTCGAATGCTGAACGTAACTACAGCATATACGAGAAAGAGCTGTTGGCGATCAAGGAGGCTTTCGAGGCGTGGCGACACTACCTCGAAGGCGCCCAGCATCCCGTTGCCGTTCTGACCGATCACAAGAACTTGGAGTACCTGGCAACGGCTCGCATCCTAAACCAGCGTCATGCACGGTGGTCCCAGTTCTTGTCTCGGTTCGACATCCGCATCCAGTACCGTCCTGGTGCGAGGAACGGCAAGGCCGATGCCCTGTCTCGTCGCTCGGACTACATCCCTTCGTCGGCCTCCGTGTCGAGGGATCCGCCTCTGCTTCTCGATCCTGCCGCGGTGATACGCGTGCTCCGAAGCAGAGACGCCCGCTCTTCGGTTGCAAGTCGCAGTGACCCTGTGGATTTGCTGCAGCTCATAGCCGAAGAGCAGGCTCGGGATCCCGGTCTAGACAAATACCGTCGTGACCCGAAGTTCGTCTGGAATGGCCAGTACCTCACCTTCCAGAACAGGATTGTGGTCCCAGAGTCGTGCCGAGTTCCGGCGCTCAAGTCGTGCCATGACCCAGTCGCTGTGGGTCATCCAGGCATCCGACGGACTCTGGCTCTGGTATCGCGACAGTTTTGGTGGCAAACCTATCGGAAAGATGTCAAAGAGTACGTCTCGACGTGCGACACCTGTGCACGCTCGAAAGCTCCGCGACACAAGCCGTTTGGGTTCCTGTTGCCACTCCAGACAGCCGATCGACCCTGGGGGACACTGACCATGGACTTTATCACTGATCTGCCAAAGTCCAAGGGTCACACCTGCATCTTTGTGGTGGTATGCAGCCTCACAAAGATGGCACACTTTATGTCCTGGCGTTCACTGCCGTCGGCGGAGGAGACTGCGTCACTGTTCCTCGACAATGTCTTTCGTCTCCATGGCCTCCCCGACACAGTGGTTTCAGACCGAGGAAGTCAGTTCACCTCTCGGTTCTGGAAGGCACTCTGCACGCAGCTCGGGATCCAAACCAGTCTGTCCACGGCCTTCCATCCCCAGACCGATGGACAGACTGAGAGGGTCAACCAGGTCATCAACCAATACCTGCGCTGTTACACGTCGTATCAGCAAGATGACTGGGCCGAGCTGCTGCCGCTGGCCGAGTTCTCTTACAATAACCTCGAGAACTCGTCAACACATGCCTCGCCATTCTTGGCAACCTATGGGTTCCACCCAAGGTTCGAAGTCCCCGTTGTCGCTGGCGGCCCTGATGTTCCCTCTGCCACGGAGAGGGTTGAACATCTCCAGCGGAACCTGGCACTGTTGAAGGAGAATCTTGAGAAGGCAAAGTCTGACTACAAGCACTTCTCAGATCTCCGGAGGTCCCAGGCTCCCGACTTGCGTCCGGGCGATCAAGTCTGGGTGCTGACTCGTAACATCAGCACCACTCGCCCAAGCAAGAAGCTGGATTACCAGAGGATTGGACCATTCACCATCCTCGAGGCCGTCGGGACATTGGCTTTCCGCCTGGACTTGCCAAAGGACATAAAGGTGCACCCGGTGTTCCATGTGTCTCTTCTTGAGCCCTACAAGAAGAACTCGCTTCCGGGTCGGGTGCAAGCGCCGCCCCCTGCGGTGGTCATCGATGGGAACTTGGAGTGGGAGGTCGAAGAGATCTTAGACTCCAAGTTCGTGCGCGGAAAGCTGCACTATCTCATCGATTGGAAAGGCTACCCGGTCACCGATCGAAGTTGGGAGCCCGCCGACATTGTCTTTGCCCCAACGGTGGCCGCGGAGTACCACCGACGCTACCCAGACAAGCCTGGCCCCAGGAGAACTCAAGATGGAACACGCCGTAGTTTAAGGAGGAGATAGTGTGATGACCAGCATCACAACGGACCAATGAGATTGTCCCGCATGCTCTCGCCCTCCGCACCAATCATGAGTCCCCACGTGTTTGTTTGCCCCCATGCATGAGCACGCGCCGTTGCCACCCGCGTCTACTGGTTTCCTGCCTCCCCCACCGCTCGGCACATGTCCCCGGGCTGTGCCAAGCCTCTCTCGCTTGCACACCAGCCACTCTCGCACCCCCTTCTCGCTTCTCTGTGATGCTCCACCCTTCTCGCCCACTTTTGCCCCTCGACCTTCTCCCGGTCTATAAATAGCCCTGCATGTCTGAGCCTATGTTGAACACCAGTTCGAACAAAACTTGTTCTTTGGTGTTCGGGGCTAAAAGCTAATAAAGCTCATACCAAGCACTTGGTCTTCGTCCTTGCGCTTGTTCACTCCTTACACTTGGGGACGATTGTGTCTGTCACTCGAATTCCTGTCACTCGAATTCCTGTCAGCCATGACAGATTCTACCATTCCTGTCAGTCAGCCACGTGATCCAAATTGAGACGATACGGTCCGTGCACGCGCTACTCCGCTGTAGTCGGTGGTTTGCGCATTGGGAAGCGCGCACCGTCTTGCAACGTGATGCCGCGGGTTCGATCCCCGTATCCCACCATCGGGGCGTATCTTTGGCCGCCCTCGGAGGAAGTTAGTCCGCCCCCATCTGGTGATAGCGGATGACGCACGAGCTCCCTCAGAGTTCATGCCGAGCGTGCCGGTGGGGCCCAGCTGCTTAAGCCTTTGGTCGCTATTGGTGCGTTCCGAACTTTTTTTTTTCACCACTCTCGACGCCTGATTTTTGCATCGTTACGAAACATCATCCGGGACAACACCCCACACCCCACGCTCGAAAATAGAGTTTCGCATGAATGGACGTCACTTTATTGATTTAATCATTGGAAACAAACGACTCGACGAAAATATAAACGGGCTCGGGACGATCGTGAAGGCGGCGATAGTTCTCACCCCAGGTGATGCGCTTAGAACACTGGTGCATATTCTGATTCACCACCAACTGCTGGATAACAAAGCGACAGGTATCCATATAGGAGGGGAACTTGAATGACTTGGAAATGTCCAGCTTCACCAGGCTCGTAACGTTCAATCCGGCAAAATCCAAGAAGCTCCTTGGCATGACGATGTGTTGAAGATTGGGGATTTCAGGCATACCTGCGAAACTCCTGAGCCTGGTGCACTTGGAGAGATCGAGTTTATGGAGGTTTGTGCGAGGTAGCTTGTTCAATTCGTTCAGGAACTTGAAATTCTCGGGAAGTGCCAATGAGCGAAGAGTCACCACATTCTCGAGGTGTGCGTCGATTTCAACCATATTGATACAGCGGGAGAGATCAAGACTGGCCAATCTGGGAAGCGTTGCGTCGGCCAGTGGTTCAAGGGAGACGACATCCTTCGGCAACTTAAGCTCGAGCAGCTGTGGAACCGTCTTCGTGATGCCCAAGAGAGACACCAGCTGTTCACAATTCTCCAGTCCAGTGATAGTTGTCATGGCCGGAAGGTTCAAGGGCATCCCAAAGAGATTCAAGGTTGTGCCAGGCGGGATCTCCAAATTCTTGAGTCGGGGAAGGGTGAACGGAAAGTCGGATAGTCTCGTCAAGTTTCGGTTATTGACAATCCCAGTAAGGAGCTCGAGCTCCTTCATAGACTTGGGAAGGCCGGCCGTGGTCTCGAGGCTCGTCGGAAGTCGGAGAACTTTCAACTTGTCCATCGCCGAGGGCATCTTCACAATTGACTCGAGAGAGGTGCAGCCTGAAAGATCGAGCATTTCCAAACCCGAGAGCACCTCTGGCATCCTCCCGAGTTTTTGAAGACCAGAGATGCCCAAAGACAGATCAGTCAAAAATGGCATGCTTGGGAAATCGCTCCAGTGGAAAGAAACATCGGGGTTCAGCATCGGGTAAGATGTGGAGTACTCGATTGCCAATTTGACGACATTCGAAAGAGCAAGGGGCCAGTCGCCTACAGTGCTGAAAGTACAGAAATGCAAGTGCAAGAAAACATCCTGAGACACCTTAGACGACGTCCTAGGCTCTGAAGGGGTCAACATCTCGATCTGAAATCGTTCAAGGGGAAGGAGTCTATCCTGGGCACCGAGAATTCGAAGCGGGGGCTGAACATCATCAGGGGTGCGGAAGATCAAAAGATGACGATGGGTCGAATCCACATCCTCAACCATGGGGAGATACTCAGACAACATCATGGCCGGGTCAAAGAGAGCAAAAACATCAGAGTGAACAAAATCAAACACTCCAGAGTCGAATGATTGACTCTGCTCCCTCAACTTTGCCTGAATGTATCTGGTCTTCAAGGGGCCCGTGATTTCCTTGAGGATATGCTCGAAGTGACGAACGTTGTCCGTAGGGATGCTTCTAAGCCTTTCGCACTTCATGACCGATTTGCGGAACTCGGCGTTGTTGGCCACGGCTTCCCAGAGGTGGCGCTCGGACTTGAACCAGGTCGACGAACGCGGAATCCTCAACTTGACCGGGGACTCAAAACCTCCAACGAAGCTTTCTCTTCTGCCTTCAACAAAGCAATAGAGCCCTTGGAGGACGAGGTGTAGGTTCTCGAGGTCGAAGGTGCCCCAGTCCTGCAACCCGAAATGTTCGACGATACGTTGGCACATGGCAGGATAGGCATCATTTCGCAACACAATATCGTCCGTGTATACCATGACCATGCCTGTGCCAACGTATCTGTCAAAGTCCGGGATGCTGACTTTGAAGATCTCCTTGAGCTCGGCGTACTTCATATCTTCGGGCGGGGGCTGAGGGCCTTCATATATGCGCTTGCTGGACGTGCCGATAGGCGGGCAGTATTCTGCTCGACGCTTGCCTTTGTCCACAACGACGACTGGAGAATTTGTGGATTCGCTGGACGACGGTGTAAAATCTTCGAGGGGGTCATGCTCATCCTCAGATTCAAAGGCATCGTCGGGCAGCTCTCGTTCGATGAGTTGGGTGTCGGTGATTCGATCTCCGACGAGCAATGTATCGGACTGGAGCGACTCGTCTCCGCTGTCGTCCAGTGAACCACCACCCATGAGGGGACTGTAGTTGCTTCTGTTTCCTGGCTTGAACTGGAAGGGGTTCATCGTTGCGGGGAGAGCGACAAAAACGCAAAAAAGGGGGGCGAGGGATTTTTCTTCTCTGCCGTGCCCCAGGACCTCGGACAGGGTGAACGCGACCCTGGGGCACAGTGCTGCGCACGGATCCACGTGTTTGAAGCGCCACCCGTGGTATGGCGACGGGCGGGATCCCGGTCATGGAGTGCGCAAGTGCCACTTCCAATATCATCTGGTCATCGATAGCGCTCCACAATCCGTGAGTTGCACGCACTTATGCATTAGATTTCGGGATTCATGGAGAGGGTGTGTCGGGGTTCTGCATTAGGTTTCATCATGGAGTGAGTGCTATTTGTACTCTCATTTGTTCTCAAGGAGTGATGTTGTCGAGTGAGGGTGTGGTTGTGTCGGTGCTGTGTATTAGAAATGAGTTTCGTGGAGTGAGGGTCTTGTCGTCGTTGCCAGCTACCCCAAAAATACAGAAAATTCAAAAAATTTCAATCACTTTCTTGGCCAGGACTTTCAACCAGTTCATCCAGGACCCATGGAGTGGGGCGGGTTTCAGAGCGAACGCAGCCACTCCATGAACCATGGAGACGTTTCGGGTCATGTGTATTAGCGTAGATCAGCCGTGCATCAGGCATGGAGAGGGTGTGCATCAGGACGACGTTTTTCTGCATTAGCCTTCGAGTGGGTGTGTATTAGCGATCCGTTATCTCCCACACCACCAACATGGAGGGCGAACGTCACCTTCCTATTCACTCACCCAAGCAAACGCCAATCCATCCCGTCATCTTCTGTGGCTAGCCTCAGCATGGCTATCCAGCTAAATGTATTCCGTGTTCGTGGTTACTGCCACAGAAACACGCGTGTCCATGAGACCCAGCCTTGCTTCCCCCAAGCCAACAAAGTCCTCCATCCCCTTGTCATCTCGCACCATTCCCTCCATCCTCGATACCCACCAATACCCCCACCACATCATGACCATGTACAGCTGGATTCAGATGGTCACTCGCAAAGAGCGTGGTATCTCCATTTTCAAAGATGGAGACCGCCGCACGCCCGAGGGCCTCGATTTCGCTCGAGAGAAGACTCGTCTCCTCATCTCGGACATTCGCGCTCGCTTCTCCTCCGGCGACCAACTCCCTTTCGACCTCAGGTTCATAGAAACCCTTCGCTCTCTCCTCGACCATACCTCTGGTGAACTCGCCGATGGAGACTTGTTTCTGACCGAGGAACAGGTCATGGCCCTGCACAGCGCTGTCGTCACCCTCTATCGCGACGAACTTTCGGACGACGAAGACGATGTTTCTCGCTTCCTGCAGTACACCAAGAGCAGCATCGTCAATGGTGTTTCGCCCGGCAAACGACAGGAATCGGCAGCGACTCCCACCGGCTCCAGCTCTCGCTTGTTTGCACGTCGCTCGACCCCCCGTCGTCTGAAGAGAAAGTCACCTCCTCACCAGAGCCCCGAGCTCGCTACCGAGGATACCCGATCTTCGCCCAGTCCCCCTACTCAAGTTCGCCGCCGACTTCCCAGCCCTGAAGTCGCAGCAGAGGTCGTCATTGAAACCACGGAGCAGGCGAACACCCCGACCAATATCGAAGATCCGATGATGATGCTCAAGCGCAGGAACCTCGAGCTCCAAAACGAGCTCCTTCTCGAACGCATCGAAACGGAACGAGCCCTCCGCCAAGAAAGGATCGCTGCCATCAGACGTGGCGACGCCAGAACGTCCTCCCACTGACTTGTTCGCTGTCAGCTACAGCTGTGATCAATATATCGCACCTATTGACCCCTTGATTTGCTTCCTGTCCCTGACGAGTCCCTGAGTGGGGCGGAGGACGACCCTGATGTGACTTGCGCTGGATGGGGGGTTGTGATTTTCATACAAAAACCACAAGCATCTGCCACCGGCCCGCACCCCCCAACCCGATCCACCATGCCTCGCAAGCGCAAAGCCCAGTCGTCCGTTTCCGCCGAACCCACCAGCTCCAAGCGAGCCAAGGCCAATCCCACAGCTCCTGCCGCAGAGCCGCCCAAACCCACCGGCCCAGTGGTGACATGGTCGCCCACGCCCATGCCTGAGTTACCTGTCGAGATCATCCAGCTCATCTCGGACTTCATGCCTGCTGCCGCTGCTGCAAGATTCGCCAAGACCAGTCGCTACCACCATGCCGCCGTCAACGACGTCCACTACTGGGCCGTGCGTCTCCACAAGCATCCATCCAAGCCTGCCTTCACCGAGGAGCTGAAGACCTGCAAGAGCATCATGGCCTGGATCCACTGCCTCGATACCACTCTGTGTGTGGGGTGTCGTCGCATCAGGATTCCCAGAAACAGCTACCCTTGTATTCCCTACCCCATTTGCTACAACTGCACCTTTGACCACGATTCTTGCATTTATGGGTTGGTCTCGGTCAGTACCATGTACAAGCTCTACAAGATCAAGCCCGGAGACATGCCAACGGGATCGATCTGCATCAGCAAGAAGTGCAGATTCACCTTTGGCACCTATTACTTGCGCCCTCAGGTCATGGCCCGCGTCGCCGAGCTGCATGGGAGCTGGACCGCCTTCAAGGAGCGAGCCGTGGTCAAGAGATGCCAGAAGGGCCAGCATATCCTCGAGCGCAAGCAAAAGATCGCAGCCCTCCTGTAACGTCCACTACTGGGACGTTGGGGCAAGACGGGGAGGGAGGGGGTACAAGACAAGACAGGACGGGGCAGAACAGGGCGGTGCTAGGCTACTCTAGCGGACGGGTGAGCTCGGGGAGCACTTACGTTTATTCACGATAAAACCGAACTCCAGACAAACGGGGGGAACGGGGGCAACCCGCAGGTATACCCTGCGGTGGCCTGCCTGCGGTGCGTGAAAACGCAAAGCGCAGCACAGGTCACGACCCACTGCGCCGCGCAGTACGCGCAGTACGCGCAGCACAGCGTCGGAGATACCATCTCCTACACTCCCACACTTAAGAAGGCTTCCTGCGAGGAGCCCTGCGTGTGCTCTTTATTTGGGGCTCCTCGAGGTGTTTACCGTATTTACTCAGCTCCTCGGGTGCATGGGACAAGTCCTCCAGTGTTTGCCATGTGTTGCCCGAGTGTGGGTAACCAACCCACTTGACATAAAACCGAAGTGACCCATCAGCCACTTTCTTGTGCCTCACGATCCTTTCGACTTCATATTCTTGAGTATAGTATTGTCCGAGGTCGTCTTCCAGTGGTGCGTCGTCCGGGACACCTTCGTCGGCGTCGGGGAACTGTGCTGGACTGCGGGTCGTGTGGCGACGCAGCTTGGACACATGGAAGACAGGATGGAGCTTGCTTCCAGGTGGCAAGTCCAACAGGTAGTTGAGGGGACTGGGTCGGGCCGCTATCTTGAACGGTCCTCGGTACTTGGGCAACAACTTCTTTGACTGGGCTTCGGGGACCTTGATGTTGTCGGCGTCCAGGTAGACAAGGTCTCCAACTTCAAAGGAGACATCCTGGTGTCGGCGGTCGTAGTACTTCGCCATCACTTGTTGCGCATCCGTGAGCGCGTCGGCGATCATCTTGTGTCGGACTTGATGATCTTTGACAAAGGCACTTGGTTTGGGAGGCAATCCAGCCGTGGACTCGGTCAGTGTCAAGGAGGTGGGAACATCAGGCTGGAATCCGTAGAGCGCCTCAAAGGGGCTCAAGCCAGTTGTGCTCGACTTGGCGGTGTTGTATGCAAACTCTGCATGACTCAGCTGTATGTCCCAGTCGTCTTGGCTGGTCGAGGCGTATGTCCTCAGGTATTGCTCGAGGGTGCGGATCGTCCGCTCGGACTGTCCATCCGTTTGTTGGTGGTGCGAGGTTGACATGTTGTTAGAGTCCAAAGGGGACTCAACGGCAAAAGAAGAAGTGAGCTCGAAGTGAGCTCAGGGAAAGCAAGGGTAGAGTCCGAAGTGGACTCGGAGAGGGAGCGAGGGAAGCAAAGATCCGTTCAAGATAAGACTTGTCTCGAAATGAGACGTGAGGAACACTCAGAGAATAAAGTAGAAGGCACTTTATTTAGTCCTATTTTGAACGCTAAGGTTCGACTACACATCGCGGGGGTCAGGCTATTTATAGACAAGTCCGGACTTGGCAGCGAAGGGCGGCCAAGGGAGGGAAAAGTGGGCGATCGAGCAGGGCGAAGGGGGCGATGCACGAACGAGGGCCGAGAAGGACCACCGAGACAGGCAGAGAACCAAAGCGAGAGAGGCGCAAGCAAAAGCGAAGCACCTGGCAGGAGAAACGTGCAAAGGCGAAGCAATGTGACTCAACGTCCAAGAAGCGGATTGGTCAAGTATAAGGTTGGGGCAAATGCATGCGAGATGAACAAGAGATCGGGGCGGTCAGGCAGGTCATGAGTCACCGGTGGGGGGACACATGACCGGCAGCCGAATTGCAACCAATCGCAGCAAGGCGCGTGCACAAACAAACCGGCGCGTGCGAAGAAGACAAAGGAAGCGGAGCAGCGCGGGAAAACGGAAGTGCGGAAGGAGCGGAAAAGACAGGCAAAAGGCGGAAAATCGGAGGGGAACTGCAAGGCTACACACAAACAAACAGAAAGGCAAAAGAATAGCCAAGTGTGCAGTCAAAGTGGAGAACAAGCAGGAGCTATCCCTAACATCATCCCCTTCCTTAGCGACGAACTCCGGACGTCGCCTTCGGCTTTGAGGGATAGCGAAGGTGGAAGTCAGCAACAAGATCAGTGGCGTGGGAAACATTGGCAGCGGGCTCCCAAGACCGGTCAGTCTCGGAATAGCCCTTCCACTGAACCAAGTACTGTAAGCGACCACGGAAGAGCCGAGAATCGAGAACAGTCTCGACCTCAAACTCTTCCTGGGAGTTAACAAGAATGGGAGGTGGTTCTGGTTGGGTGAACTCGGGAACAATGTCCTTCGTTCGGGGTTCAAGGAGGGATACATGGAAAACGGGGTGAACTTTAAGTGTGGAAGGGAGTTTAAGCTCAAAGGCAACGGGGTTGATGCGGCGAAGAACTTTAAAGGGGCCAAGCTTTTTCTGGTCAAGCTTGTTGGAGGGACGAAGGGTGCGAATGTGGCGACGATCCAGAAAAACGAGGTCGCCAACGGAGATGTCGGGAGTGGGGAGACGGGATTTGTTGGCCTGCACAGTGTAGGACTCTTGGGCAACCCGGAGGTTGGCCTTGAGATCCTCGAGAACGGTCTGAAGTCGGTCGACACGTTCTTCGGCAGAGGGCACAACAGAGGGATCACGAATGATAGAGGGATCGAAAATGGGGTGATGGCCATGGACTGCAAAGAAGGGAGTCATGCCAGTGGAGGTGTTTTCCGAGTTGTTGTAAGTGAACTCGGCAAGGGGAAGGTGAAGGGTCCAGTCGTCTTGCAGGTAATTGCAATGGATACGCAAATACTGCTCGATGACCTGGTTGAGAACCTCGGTCGAACCGTCGGTCTCGGGGTGGAAGGCAGAAGAAAGGGAAATCTTCGTCTTCAGAAGCTCATTGAAGCGCCTCCAGAAGGCCGAAGTAAACTGAGTTCCTCGGTCCGAAACAATAGACCGGGGACAACCATGCAAGCGGAAGATGTGGGAGAGGAAGAGTTCGGCGGTTTGCTCGCCTGTAACCGTCTTCGTGGTGGGCACAAAGTGTGCTTGTTTGGACAGGCGGTCCTTAACCACGAAGATCGAGTCAAAACCGTTCGAAGGTGGGAGATCCGTGATGAAGTCCATCGACAGGTCCCACCAACGTTCGGAAGGAACGGGGAGAGGATGAAGTAAACCATAAGGGGAGTGACGGGACGGCTTGGCTCGCTGGCACGCTTCACAATTAGCAATGAAGCGACGCACAGACTTACGAAGCCGGGGCCAGTGAAAGTCCCGGGAGACGAGCTCAACGGTCTTGGCAAGACCAAAGTGACCAGCGGCAGCGGAGCAGTGACGTTGCTCAAACACTTTGAGCTGGAGCTCGGGGGAAGGGACAGCGATCAGGTCTTTAAAGTAAAGGAGACCGTCACGGAAGGAGTAATCGCCATCAAGACGTTTGGCGTTAAAGTCAGAAAGGAGGGAACAAGAAAGGGTGGCAGCTCGAATCTCGGAAAGAAAGTCGGGATTCGAGCCGATAACAGTGATGCTGTCGAGAGAAATAGACTCGAACAGCTGAAGGAAGTTGGTGGAGTGGAGGGAGTCACCAGGCTTTATCTCAAAGTCAGAACGGCGACTGAGAGCATCGGCTTTGGTGTTGAGACGACCAGGGCGGTGGTAAATGCGAAAAGCAAAGTCAGAAAGGAATTGGGCCCACCGGAACTGGCGGCGAGAAAGTTGAGAAGCGGCAGTGAACCGGGTAAGGTTCTGATGATCAGAGAAAACAAGAGTGGGAATATCAGGGTCGGCAGCCATCAAGTAATGACGCCAGGCGGTAAAGGAATCGACAATGGCGAGGAGCTCTTTGTCGTGAGTGTCATAATTCACCTCGGCGGGACGGAATTGCCGAGAGTGAAAAGCAACGGGGTGAAGAGCGCCGTCAGGGTCAAACTGAGAAAGGACGGCACCCAAAGCAAAGTCAGAAGCATCGGGCTCGATGACAGCGGGTTTAGAGAAATCAAAGTATCGAAGAATAGGTGCGGAAGTGAAGGAAAGTTTAAGAGAATCAAAAGCCTCTTGGGCCTCGGGAGACCAAGAGAAGGTGGAGGATTTGGTAGTGAGGGAAGTCAAAGGACGAGCAAGTGCGGAAAAGTCCTTGACGAAGCGGCGGTAAAAGTTTGCGAAACCAATAAAGACTTGGATATCGCGAGCAGAAGAGGGAACAGGCCAAAGGGAAACGGCCTCGACCTTGGCAGGGTCCATTTTGATGCCATCGGCAGAAATGATCATGCCGAGAAAGTCAACTTCAGAAAGGTCAAAAGAACACTTGGCCGGATTGACCTTAAGGGAGTGTTCACGAAGGCGAGAGAGAACAAGCTTAACATGCTCCTCATGCTCCTGGGGATCTTTTGAGAAGATCAGGATGTCGTCAAGATAAATGACAACACAGACACCAAGGAGGTCCGAGAAGATGTCGTTCATAAAAAACTGAAAAGCAGCGGGGGCATTCGAAAGACCAAAGGGGATAACATTGTACTCAAATGAGCCAGATTTGCAAACAAAAGCAGTCTTCCACTCATCGCCCTTCTTGACACGAACCAAGTGGTAAGCATCAGGAAGGTCGAGGTGTGAGAAGACGCGGGCAGAAGAAAGTTTATCCAGAAGATCCTGGAAGAGGGGAAGTGGGTAACGGTTCTTCTTCGTGATGGCATTGAGGCCTCGGTAGTCGACGCAAAGGCGAAGACCACCATTGGGCTTCTTCACGAAGAAGCAGGGAGCACCAACGGGAGAAGAGGATTTGGAGATCCAACCACGTGCGAGGGCGTTGGTCAGATACTCCGAAAGAGCAGATTCCTCGGCCGGGGACAAAGGATAGACTTTCCCCGGCTTTGGCAAACGAGGTTCCTTTCCATCCTCGGTCCGTACAAACTCAATGGACAAGTCATACGGACGATGAGGAGGCAAGGAAGAAGGAGGGTCAGACTTGAGGCTGAAAACGTCGCCAAACTCATTGTATTTGAGTGGGACGCCTCGAGAGTCAACAGGGGTGCCAGACTCGGCATACACCTTCGTCGTGAGCACGGACCT